TTTGAAAATATATGTATCTCAAACAATGTGCTGCTGGACCAAGTTTGGTCAAAACAAATAAAAATTTAGTATACAACTCTAAACCGGTATAAAAATGCATGGCTGTGTCACGTGTCTTCATTTCAAAATTCTCTGCTGAAAATATAGGCATTGATGGTGTTTGCGTACCCCGTAATTCCATCTGTGAAGCTCAACATTAGCTCGGCAGTTGGTGGTGGACAGTCATAAATCCTGTCTGCAGTATGAATGACTTCTTCGGGAAAACCAACTTTACAATCAAAACTTTCCTCTAGATTTCCACTTCAATATTCATCAAGTTTAGATCTTTTGTTTTCACAGGAAACTGCCCTGATTTTTCTTTTTGTGGACGATTCAGTCTCTTGCTTGGTCCAGGAAAAAAGGCTGGGAATGGCAGTAGACTTAAGTCTCTGTATTGTGGGTTTGCGCCCTGAAAAAGGTTATAAAACATTAGCTTTTTGATAATTAAATGAACTTCCATTAGCAATGCATACTTTGTACTACCTGGCAAAATATTAACTAGATTTATTCATTACAATCTGGATAAAACTATGTTAGCCTGATTCAATGTACATCAAAATGTATGTTATGTAAATCCAAAGGACAAACAATGAGAGATGTATGCAACAAACATACATTGTTTGTACCTAAATAACTATAATATAGATGAGAGCATGTCATTGTTTTGTTCCTGTTAACATTGTCATTGATATTTTTCAAGAGTCTATGAGGCATAGCTTATGCATTCCTGTCATTACTACATTAGCATAATTACTGCTAAAATAATTCTCAGTATGATATACCTCTTGTAAGAAATCATTATAATTGTAGCAAGCACCAAAAAATCTCAAACAGATCACATTGAATCGTAATCCAAAAAATTATGACGTCTTGAATTAACCACCCCCTTTTATTTTAAAACGATAATTGCGGGTGTAAACAGACTTTGGTTTATTCGCATGGCGATTACATACATAACTATATATTTTAAAAAGAAAATAGAGTTTTACCATGAATAGTCTTTTTCAGTAAAATGTGCATTGCAAACAACAGCTGATTGAGATGGAATCCACGATTTCATCGTGTTCTCGTCCAATCTGCGTATGGGCCATGGCGTTGATCCAACTTTTCCTTCTTTTTAAGTCATTTGGAAATTTGGAAATGCATGTCCTCCTCTTAAATGACATCCAGGTACACAACAACAAGTACTTGGCATCATTAATAAAAAATGCAACTGTAATAGTTGCACAGTGCAGAAACCGGAAGTGGAAGAACAGGATCGGCTACCACAGCGCCACCTATTCAGGAACAATAATTAGCTACTTTATATAACTGCGAAATAACAATAACGTTAGACGGGTTCGCGTGCATAAACAGAAATGCGCTTTAAATTGTATAATATAATTCATGTTCAGTCGACCTTTAATTATTATATCAACGACTGAAATGATTTATAAACATCTAGATTGCAGATAACACTCGAAATTAACTCGACCTCTTTCCACACGGAATTCAAATAATTCTAGTTTGTCAATCGGTTGACTGCTTATAATGTAAAATACAAATATATCAAAAGTTTTTAAAAATAACAAAACACAATGATCGTTTCTCTATTTCCCAATGTAAATGAAATGAAACAAAAAACATTTTATATCACAATAAGAAGAGGAGAGAATCAACATTTTCCAGATCTACTTGGAGCCTAATGACCCCCCACGTAGATAAGTTGGATATCGCGGAAAGAAAGATTAACACGGAAACCAGAAAGGCATTAAAGCACTGCCTTTAAAAAATAAACTTCAGTATATACTTCTCTGTATCGAAATTACGAAGAAAAAGGAAAATAAAATCTGTTTAGTCTAGTCTTAGCATTTAGAATTATCATACTGTAAACATATTTTATTAAAGAAATCGTTATAATATATAGCTACAAGGGTAAACACATAAATATGAAATATACAAAGGATTCAATAATAGGGATTAGGAAACAAGAGCAGTGCTCTTATATAAATCCATCTCCCTAAATTCGAAAATAAAATTACAAGGTATGAACACATGCTGAATAGCAAACGAATAAATATGTAACAAAATACAGTCAATGATTACAATAAGAAAAGGAAAATTCATAAGAAAAAAATATATAGCAAGGGAAGGGGAGAAAGGTGTTTTTAGAAAATGAGAGTGTTATTAAAGAATGAAATAATATTTTTTATATAAAGGAGGAGTGATTGATTAGAATTATTTGATTGTGGATGTGAATATTAAAAACCGCCTGGGAGTGCCCAGGTGAAGAAAAAGGGCCCAGGGAAAAGAAAAAGCGTCCGGGGAAGAAAAAAAGCGCCTGGGGAAAAGAAAAGGCGCCCAGGGAAAATATGTAGATATTGTATTGGCATGAGACAACTTTGTGTTGATGAAATAAGTTATGCACATTGATTTTTTTTAAATTTTAGACAAAGTATTTTGCAAATTCAGATAATAGACATTTGTAATAAACTACAAAAACAAGTATGAATGTTTCAATTTTAACAATAATATATGAATACTATTTCGAAAGACAGATAATAATGGACCACAGTTTATGCTGAAGATTTATAAAATGTTAGACATCAAAAGACATGTTTTTCAAAAACGATATCTAAATGAAAAATGCAAAAACAACTTAAATTTCATAGATAAATATTAATTTTACAAAATTAAAAGAGTTACACATTATTTAAGAACGATAAAAGTGACACGCACATGCATATCAGCACCAGCAAATAAAACAATTATACTACGCAAGCGGCATGTTAAAAGCAGGTGTTTGGTATAAAACAAATAACATTGAATCACCGATAAGCATTACAAATTGCATGCCGCGATTTTAACAGTTTTGGTTTTATAAAAAAAAATACAATAAATCAGCAAATAAAGCAGTACAATACATGTTCCGGAGTTAAAACAAGGGGGTAAAAGCAGGAGTTTGGTTTAAATTTAAAACTAAGCATTAAAACACTGATAAGCATAGCCATTAAAACAGTTTTAGTTTTATAAAAAGATATAATAAATCTATATCAGCATCTGCATATAAAACATTTACTATTGTTTTCATTAAATCATCTAACGCTAGATCGGTATAAATTTCCCTGCAATTCTGTGTCTTTACCATTCCCTTGATACCATCAACAATTTGTGTATTTGTTCGGATGTAATCGCCATGTCCATTTTCAATATTTCCATGCAAACTTGTTGTTATTGGGAAAATGCCAACATATTCCACAAACGCTACCCCATTACCGCTTGCTGGGCTCTCGGGACTGGTTACAACCCATGATATTTTTTACAGCATATTCCACAAGGCCAGAATATCATATTTGCTTTAGCAGTGGGTTTAACTTTTCTTTTCATAGTGGCAGGCATGTTGAAACCCTTCCACGATCTTCCGACGTCAATGTAAGTGTGTTTAATAAAATACAAAACTTTGAAAAGTGTTCACCATGCAGTTGCGAATATTAAACCTTGGGCACTGATTTTTTAAAAATAAGTAATAGTTATACACCGAGGGATAGGTGTGTCTGGATAAGAAACCCCGTCGGCCGGAGGCCGGAGGGGTTTCTTATCCAGACACGCCGTATCACGAGGTGTATAACTAACTTACACCCCACTAAACCCTATATTTGTTAACTTTGATTATTAAATGAAAAAAAACCACCGATAGCATATGTATTGACAATATCAAACCATGATGTATAATAATATTTTTTTATTACATGAAACCCCACTAGTAACCTTTCTTCGGTAAACTTCATTCAAACTTTGACAAGTGGGTATATTTTACAAATGTCAAGTTGTTTTGCATATTCCCGTTAAATCCATGTGCTAATATGGATCAGCAGGTCAAGGTTGACTGTTTCGCGTATTCTTATTACAAACAAAAAATACATCATGCTTCTGGTATACAGTTGTCAATATGGACTGGTATAAGACGGACGACATTTTGTGGCAAGCGTTGGATTTGGTAGAAGAGACTAAAGATAAAGGCAATATTATAACCCACAGTACTTACCTGAATCAGTTTAATAAAGGTAATCATAACTGTATTTTATATCTTACGATTTTATCAAAATCAAAGCCCCCTCCTTTCTTCTCGAGAAAAAACAAAAATTCATATTCGAACATACTAAGGGATAGGTGTGTCTACATTAGAAACATGACTACCAGGGGGGGTTCCAGGTGTTAGAATCTCCATTTTTTTTAAGACCAATGCTTTAGAATAGAGACATATGACTAGGGTAAAAAAGATTACCTTCAAGCAAAAGAGTATTTAAAGGATTATTTTTGTATTCCATATAGATGCTTATTGGAATTTCCTAAAATGTGTTTTTTTAATATCATGAAACAATTTGTAGTGAACACTATTAGGAATTTCTTATGTTCATGCTATTTAAAAAATAATCAATTTCTATTGTTACGAATAACAATGGACTTTGTTTGCGGGATGTAGAAGCAGGGGTTTCCAGAAACCCCCCTCGTCACACCCTGTGGTCAAAATCCATTGTTATTCGTAACAATAGATCTATTCAATTTACACATGTTTCAGATATAGAAACTATGAAGTATAAAAATAGAACTGGGGTGTAACGAAATATACGTTTTGATCGAGGACAATATAGTTCATGATTCTTCTATATACTCTTGTTTATATTTACTTACTTACTTATATACAATTTTGAAATCTAAAATGTAAAAGTGCAACAACACTATCTACACACTTAAGATGTAGCATCGTACATATCCCCATTTATATTAAGGACAAAACAAGCAATGATTATTTTTTTTTTATTCGGGAAAACATTTATTGTTATAAAATATTATTATTTTATTCTCCCGGGCGCTTTTTCTTTTCCCCGATCGCTTTTTCTGTTCCCCAGGCACTTTTTCCTTTACTGGGCCCTACCGGGTGCTTTTTAGTAGGACCGAGGCTGGCAAATAATATTGCAAATTCATCCATCAATATAAAATTTGTGTACTATTTGATTATTATATTTACCTTCATGACCAAGTTCTTGTGTATGGTAAGTAAAACCTGCATGTGATGGTCTTCCAGATATCTGTAAAATAACATAATAACATGTTCAAATCTCTCAATATAAGATGAAGACAAGATTAGAAATTTGCTGATAGTTTAACTATAGTGAAAGATTGATTATTGATCAATATCTCGTCACCACGAAACAGAAAAAACATACTGCACACAATCAAGAAAAATACACATTTGAAATAAAAATGTAACTTTTGTGTTGATCCAAATGATAAATGAACATCATATCTATCAATTAATAATTAATTAATATGAGGGGCAAGGCATGACCCCTGGCGACAAAACTCAATACACAAGAAATGTCTTATCATGTCAATATAGAACATATAGGCTTTAAGACCATTGATTAAGATTAGACCGTTGGTTTTCCCATTTGAATGATTTTACACTAGTAATTTTTGGGGCCCTTTATAGCTTGCTGTTTGGTGTGAGCCAAGGCTCCGTGTTGAATATAAAAAAGAAGATGTGGTATGATTGCCAATGAGACAACTCTTCAAAAGAGACCAAATGACACAGAGATTAATAACTATAGGTCACTGTATTGCCTTCAACAATGAGCAAAGCCTACAACGGACAGTAAGCTATAAAAGGCCCCGAAATGACAATGTATAACAATTCAAACGAGAAAAAAACTGACCATATTTTGACCTATACTTTTATAAATTTTGACTTGGATGGAGAGTTGTCTCATTGGCACTCATACCACATCTTCTTATATCTATTTAAGGGTGGAAATCTGAGTGGATTCTGAAAGACATGTATTTACAATATATCATATGAAGGGATTTCAGGTTGGACACAAAAATGTTCTCAAAAATCATTTATTTAACCTTGGTAGGCAACACATCATCTTGAGGTAATGCACACACATGCCATTTATCAATAGTCCAAGTCAAAGAATAATAAAAAAATTTATCCCCAACAAGAAATTGTTCCAAAAATTAATTATTTGACCTAGAGGTAATACTCCAAAATGAAATAATGTCACATCATTGGCTAAATTTCAATTGTTTAGGAATTTTATAGCCAATCACAACATTTTGGTATATTTTTTTAACTTTTGAACATACAGTCGACTCTCGTTATCTTGAAGTCAGCCGGACCAGAGAAATATTTCGAGATACAAGTAGTTCGACTCAAACAAAAAACCGGAAGTTTGACAGACCAAAGGACACAACTCTTGCTTAGCTTGGTAAAGCTAAAATAAATCTGGATGAATATGGAAAGGGGATCGATATTCTGGTATCAGATCGATGTATTTGTATGTCATGGTCTTTCATTATTATTTTTATAATAACATTATTTTTACTTATTCAATTGTTTCAGTTACAATTGTTTTCTATGGCTTTTATTCGAGAGAGTAATTTTCCAATCAATCTTAGCGTTATTTACCGGTAGGTCATTTAAAGTTGACAAAATTGTTTATTCTCGGATACAAGAGATTTTAGAAAAATTAGATTTCTCTTCATTTTCTTTCATCTCACTCTTTCTTTTTAAAAGAAAATACAAGATTAAAGACGCCGATTGAGTAGTTTTTAGGTGATCACCAACGGAAGTCTTAATCCCCGCTTTATACACATCCAAGCGCATCAGTGTAAATCACGATTAATTGTTTTTGTAAACATTTTAAATACTTTTTCATGAGTATTAACAATGTATCACTAATTATTTATAAAATTTTTATAAAAGAAAAACTAAGGTAAAAACTCGTGGAAATAGAATGTCATAAATCAATACAGGGGTCAGTGACCGGAAATTTAATGACACATGTATTGTCAGATTAACTCTTCAATCCATTTAAATCCCAGAGGTCATGTTTTGACATTTGTGTATTAGTTGAGATAAATAATGAATTTTGAATGCTTTTGTTAACCTTGGGACCGTAAATTAAGTTCGACTCAACCGAAATTTCGACTCATCCAATTTCGTCTCATCAGGAGTCGAAATACATACATTTATATGGAGCAAAGTTCGGGACCACGTGGAAACTTCGACTCATCCGAAATTTCGAGTCAACCGAGTTCGAGACAACGAGAGTTAACTGTATACCCAAAATGTTTTAGATTCTGAAGTGAGTTCTATGTTTTAAAGTAAAAAAAATATAAGTGATGTTTACTTCTCCTTCTTCATGAAGTCTTGATGCCAGAAGAGCAGCAAATCCTTTCTTTGTGGCCAAGACCATATCATCATGTTCTTCTGGATGGTACACACGTAAAATTTGTCCGACAGGTGTAATTTCAAAAGAGAACCTAAAAAGAAAAGCATAAGACAGCTAATGACAAGGTTATGGCCAGTACTCCCACATTTCCCAATTTATGGGGGATTTACCCCATATGAGAGGTGTTACTTAATCAGATTTAATATCTTTCATTATATAAACTAAATTCATGTCAGCCTTCGCACTCAACCACAGGCCCACCAGCCCAGGCTTGTAAAACTGTTGTCAGCCTGTTAAATTCATCTCTACAGGCCAATAGAATGTAACTAAATATTTTGTAAAATTCAGCCTGTAGATTCAATAGTCTATTGTGAAGATTGACATTTACATCAAAAACAAATCTTTCATAATTAAAACTAATTACCTCAAAACAAATCTTTCATCATTTTAAAACAAACGAAATACATGTACCTCAAAACAGGTAACCAAAGGATTTAAAATAACATTTCTTAAAGGACATGTATTCTCATTTGAAACCATAGTAATTACATGCAGACTAAAAACAGATGTGTAAGAGATGCACTCAGTCCTCTTGTGATCAAAATCCCCCATGAAGATTTTGAGAAGTAGGCATGTATGCTAGGCCTGAGAACTATAGTTGTTTTATTTGACCCAAAGACAGGTATTACCAACAGCAAGATGTTGAAGGTTGCAGGTTAGATTAACAGTACATTTTGTTTCAAAACTTAAACAACATATACAATGCAGTGTGACCTGCATGTATAATGTTTTATTATTTGTATTTCATGTCATAACCATTTATTGTGTAGATGTGGTTTGGCAAATAAATATTGTCTATTGTCTATTTCATCTTTCAAGGATCATACTCAGATTTGTATGTATGTTAACATTTTTTTTACATCAAACCTAAACAAAAAGCTTATTTGAAATCTTAAAATATTTTAAAATACCACATTATCAAGACATGTTTATTTTGTGTCCAATTTTAAAGTAATTTGTTTATTAATTAACCATAATTTATACTCCCTATCTCCTTAAAATAATAATTGTAGTGGTGTCAACATGCCGTCCAATAAAATCATGACAATTTTGATTCTTCCTTCAGTTCAAAACATGTTTTTCATGTATATTTTTCCTTTCAGCAAGATTTTGTAATTGCTTTAGCTGAATGACTGTCATGACTGTATTGTAAAGGTTTTGTTGTCAAACAAATTTATATATATGTAAAACACAAAAATTGTGGACCATTGTGACAATATGCCAACAATAATATACATTTTTTTTATTTTGTTCCTGATGTAGTTGGCTGGAATTAAGAATTATACGTAAAAAACACATTTAGCTGTGAGAAGACATCGATCATGGATTAATTTATGGTTGACCTACTTGGAAGGCTCGTTACGAATGATTCCGACAATAGAAATAGGTTTGTTATACACCATTTTGTAGATAATTTAATGTAGATTTACAACATAACAAGCTTAAGTGGAATATAGATAGCCGCAGAGAGTCTGAATAAAAAAATAACAGAAGTTCGCGACCAGTTGACATTTCTCAAATATACGAGTTTTAGGACCCTTGTGTTAAACCAAGGATTTGTAGAGTAAGACGATACAAATCCTTGGTGTATAGTAAGACGATACAAATCCTTGGTGTATAGTAAGACGAGACAAATCCTTGGTGTATAGTAAGAGGAGACAAATCCTTGGTGTATAGTAAGATGAGACAAATCCTTGGTGTATAGTAAGACGATACAAATCCTTGGTGTATAGTAAGACGAGACAAATCCTTGGTGTATAGTAAGACGAGACAAATCCTTGGTGTATAGTAAGATGATACAAATCCTTGGTGTATAGTAAGACGATACAAATCCTTGGTGTATAGTAAGACGAGACAAATCCTTGGTGTATAGTAAGACGATACAAATCCATGGTGTATAGTAAGACGAGACAAATCCTTTGTTATATTAGGTATATATTAAGTATAGGCCTATAGGTTGTTTCAGAGACAAGTTCCTGTGGATAGTAGGGGTATACATTTTTATTTTAAATGCATGTAGATGATTAAGGTTCATGTGGACCCTTTGGCTAAAATGGATGCATTTACAGACAAACCTGAGTATCTGGAAAAATTTTAAAGCATAGCATGCTCTAGATAAATAAAATTCAAATAATTTTTCTCTTTTAGAAAATTAAAAACTTAACTGGATTTTGCAATGCACTTTTTTTCATTCCTCCAGACAGGGACTTTCTATACTAACGTTAGTATAAAAAGTTCCTGCCCCAGAAGGTGCCAAAATAAACAAAGTTGGGGAAAGAGGTTTGAGAACTTCTCCACAGGTAATAATTGAAGTGAACTGGTATTGATTGACATGGAAAATAGATATCTGACAATAATTGGTGCTTTAAACTATGTTCCTGAGTGGACCACATCAAGTGAAACGCAACTGTTTGTTAATCTAATTATAACTTCTGCAGGAATGAAAAAAAGTGCACAGCAAAATCCAGTTATAAGTTTAAAATTTTTTAAAGCATAAAATGCATTTGACAGAGGCGGAATTAGAGGGTTTTCCAGGGCCCCCCCCCCCCCTTTTGTGGGAAAAATTTGGTTGATTATTTAGGGAATCACTGAAGCATGACTGGAGCAGGCCCCCTCGTAGGCAGTAAGTGGGCCCCCCTTATGAAAATTTCTGGTTCCGCCACTGTTTGAATTTTATTTATCTATGGCATGCAATGCCTTAATTTATTAATTAAAACTTTTCCAGATGCACAGGTTAGTCTGTGTACTCAGAGTAAAATTTGAGGTGACAACTTTGCCATTTTAGCCAAAGGGTCCTCATGAACCTTAACTATCCTGGTATCCTGACCCAATCGAATACTTCGTCGATAGTCTCTACTAGATGGTCTCTACTATCGAGCAGTTAGTCAGGATCCCAGGCTAGAACCTTAACGGGCTTTATCCTGTTTTTTGTTTTTATCCTGTTTTTAACCTGTTTTTAATCATGCGCAACTTGCCAGAATATTCATCATGTTGAATGTGGGCAGTATTTGGAAGAAGAAGGGCTACATATCTGATCTGTAGTCAGGTCCCTACGCGGGGAACATCGCAAATATTCTACCAAACTTAGTTTTTTTCATTCTCTGCAGCAACATTTGGCTTGATGTTTGCGTCTGAAGGTGCCGTTTTACAGAGAACACATTTTTAACTCCCGCTTTGTTGATGATGTTGATGTTGGGCAAAATTACGAATTGTAGTTTGCGATGCGAAACAATACGGGTTCTGAGAAGGGAACAGTCGTTCAAAGTTTTTAAATTAATAGTAAGTAAACAGAATCCCTGAAATGGGAAATTGTTCGTTTTCGCAAATGATTGATACTTTTCCAATGTTCGACTATTTTTGTTTATAATGAACAAGTGTGGACACAGATCAGTGTGGATAGTAAATGTTTTATAGTGTTAAGGTAGAAAGGGTGTCTAAATTAAAATCCATAGCTCCAGTCATGCTTCAGTGATTCCCTATATAATCAACTAATTTTTTTCCACAAAAGGGGGGCCGCCCCCCCCCCCCCCCAGCCCCCCCCCCCCCCCCCCCCTGGATCCGCCTATGTAGAAGATAGCTCTAATATTATGCTTTCAGATAAGAAAAAGAAAAAATGGGGTCACGGGACTCGTTTTCTTGCTACATAATAAAATAGTTAAATTCCGAACACATTCTATTGTAAAAGTAACTTTATCTGAATTATCTGCCCTTACATTTGAGTTGCCTCCCCTTATGTGGCAAAGTTTGAAAAAATTGAATCAAACAAAAGTATTCTGTTTTTTTGTAAAATACAACCATAAATATGATAAAACATGCCATTTTCTATATTTAACTGAAAATTCATACACCTGAATTGCCTACTACTCTCGAAATTTGCACATTTTATTAAAGAACTAGACCGATTGTTTTCTGGTATATCAAAATCCAAGATGGAGGAAGACACCCTATCTACATTAAACCGTGTCGATCAAGAAGGCATGTATCAGAGCTAGAATTGCTACCGGAGTATATATACTACAGAAGGATAGGTCCAAATTCTATGGAAACAGAGAGAGGACAACTTGTCCGTTGTGTAATGATGGTGAAGAAGATATTGAACATTTTATATTAAAGTGTAAGACATTAGAAAATACTAGGAAACATTTTATATATAGCTTAGAAAAGTTTGTGGAACAAATGGACGGTCATCTATTAAGTCACATAAAGTGTAGAAGACTATTTTTACAGATGATAATAGTTATGTTTCACGCATCCGTCATTGCCATTAATTGGTACTACAATCGGGTGAGATGTCTCACCAGCTGGAAGCGATGTCAAGAGGATTGTGTTTTGCCTTACACCGGGAAAGATGTTCCAGGCTTGATATACACATGGGGTGAGGCTGGGGTTAATCCAAGGGCTAGGTGCACTAGTAGTTGATTTTACCTTTTAGTCCTCTTATCTTTTAGTAGTAAGTTAAACTTTTAAAACAAGATTAAACGGATTAAGTAGAGAAATCCTGTGGCATTAAGTTATTTAAATACCATATCCTAAACATTAACTGACTAATTTTAAAGATAAGTTTTGAGATTAAGATAATGATTATCATATTGTCTGGATGAAATTTAAGCAGATGTCATTTTATAGTGGAAGCTAACAGAGACAGTTGTTGGGCAGTGTTTGGATGTTTTTATTCACATGAGAAATAGACTTTTTAACTGTGAAGTTTTGTGATTGGACAGGAAAGACTTAAATTTATTAGTGTGACTTTTATAGTTAGGAGTACTGCACACTGTATGTTTTTTTATAGGTGATGGGTAAGATGTGTATATAATCTACTTATATGGTGTTGTACAGACTAATTCTACTGTGTAGTGCGAAGATATAAACGTAGGCCCGCACATGTAGAAGAAGTTTTATGCATATTTTTGCTCTGAATACACAGATAACCTGTGGTGCTCCAGATAGTGGAGGGATCTACTAAAGAAAGAAGACGTTAGTATCTCCAATGAGTTGATACATTGTGTCACTGTGTGCCCGCATCAGATGCTTTCTGGGCTATTTTGTGTCTTTTTTAAACTGTGTCACACAGCTGGGACTATTATACTAATATATTCTGTCCCAGCACACAGTAACAGCAATCTTGTACTTTCAGACATGCCTTAGCAAAACTCTCAAAATTAGCAAAGTAACAGGATTCGAACAAGTTGTACTTGGGGCATGTCAGCACCGGCGAGGTTGTGAGTTTGAACCCCCGCATATGGCAGGTGCGTTTGACTCTAATCTTAATTGACAAGGATTTTCAAATTTCCTGCCGAAGGTCAGTGGTTTTCTCCGGGTACTCCGGCTTCCTCCACCAATAAAACTGACAGCCACGAAAAATTCAGTTGTGCTGAAAGTGGCGTTAAACACCAACAAATCAATCAATCTAATTTATATTATTGTGTCTAGGTAGTTTTCCTAGAATTACTAAGTCTAAGAATGTATCAGCAACAGAATCATACTATGTTTGGCCAATATTTTATCAAGTATACAGTTTAAAAGAGAAAATACTAAAAATATGTAAATTTGTAGATATTGTTAGGGTTGATTGATTGTATGTTAGACTATTATTCGACAGCAGTGACGTTTATTTTTCGGGTAGGTACCAGAACTCAAAATAAGAAGAGGAACACCCAAAGAGAATGATTAGGATTTTATCATAAATGATCATAAATGTCACTTCAATAGCCTATCATTTGGCTCACAGTTAGGTTATATTTAAAAGGACCCGCAATTTGTGTATTATATTATTCCTGTATGTTTGTATGTATGTAATATATTCATGTAATGTACAATAATTTTGACCGAAGTTTATCTTATTTTCTGAAGGACCAGATATAATTGCTATGAATAGACGAGGACCCCATGCTACCATGACATTGTTTGTAAAAAGCACCAAAAACATACGGACAATATTCAAAACATAAGGAAAACAACACAAAAATAATATTCGGCCAAAAAAAAAACTATATCTTGTTTTAAGGGACAAAATATATTTGCTTCAGGAGGATCAGGACACCAACCATGACATTTAATGAAGAAAATAAAACAACACTTGAAAAAAACAAACAAAAAGTCTGGAAACAAAAAAGTCTGGAAACAAAAAAGTCTGGACCCATTTGAAGAAATTTAGTTTCGTTTTACGTGAAAGCTGCAAAAAAGATTACATCATTTGTTATACAATGTACCTTATTTTTTATGCACCCCCTCACCCCACTAACACAACCAACCTTTCACCTGGATTTTTGTTTTGATCTCTCTCTCTCTCTCTCTCTCTCTCTCTCTCTCTCTCTCTCTCTCTCACACACTCACACACACACACAGAGAGACTCTTTGGAGAATATGTTTATAGCTTTAGATATGTAACTCACCATTTACTCAGATCCATGTCATGCCCAGGTGAATCTACAATAGTGATATGACGATTACTACATTTATTTTGTGATTTTTAAACTATATTATATAGCGCAATGTTATCACAAATATAACTTACACTAAAAAAGACCATGTGGCACAAATCGAATTCAAACTAGACTATAATTTCAATAAAACAGTATTATGTCTTGGTTTATTTTGTGTATTTGCTTTTGTGGACTTTTTTTGTGGTTGTTTTGTATTTTGTGTTTTTGTTTCAAACGGTCGAACTATGCCTTACCTGGATCCTTTGCATAAAAAGTGAACGAATAAATTCTCAACAAAATCTCCTGGTAGCCATACTTTTCATCAATATTAGTAAAACTGATCTGTAAGAAAATGAGACAAACATGTAAATAATAAAATATGTCAAAGCAAAATGTCAAAGCAAATATACTTGCTTTATCTTAGAGCATAGTTTGTCTAATGGTTGGTCAAATTATGCCGTTCTTTAATAATCTATGTGAAACTAAATGTGTCCGTCCGTCACCAATGATTGTTTGAATGCTCAGGCGCCACCAGTGATAGATATAATATTAAGGTATACTTAGACATCAATCAGAAGTCTCATTCGAATTATATCTGACAGAGTGATGGACCTTTATTTTCAATTTACTTGAATTTTATTTCGAGTGTTGAGAAGCCTGTGTCCAATTTTCATGAAATGTTAAACATTAATATTGATTTCATTTTAGTTGCAATAATTGTTACATGCACGTATGTAAGTTTTACCGATTGTTGGCGGTGTTGCCAACGATGATGGAATTGACGATCCCTTTATTTAAGGTAGATCATCGGATATATATTTCCTCAGATCAATTTTTTTATACTTTGCCAAAATGAAGATTTTATTATGCTTAATTCAAAAATATAATAAAAAGTATGGGTCACCGTGATATTTTTCAAGCTACGAGTCAGTCAAAATTGCCAAAATTTGCTTAGATTGTTCATGAAAAAACACATTTTTTGTGCATAAAAAGAAATCTATGAGATAGAATTTTGAAATATAATATTAGAAAATAGGTTTTATATGTGTTTTTTTTTTTCTTCATTGACTAGAGGTATAGTGGGAGGGTTGAGATCTCACAAAAAATGTTAAACCCCGCCGCATTTTTGCGCCTGTCCCAAGTCAGGAGCCTCTGGCCTTTGTTAGTCTTGTATGTTTTTTTTTTTATTTTAGTTCATTTATATGTTTTGGAGTTTAGTGTGACGTTCCATTTACACTGAACTAGAACACAATTTTATTCAGGGGCCAGCTGAGGACCACCTCCGGATGCGGGATTTTCTCGCTGCATTGAAGACCCATTGGTGGCCAACGGCTGTTGTCTGCTCTTTGGTCGGATTGTTGTCTCTTTGACATATTCCACATTTCCATTCTCAATTTTATTTATAATATGTTTTAAGAAAATAAAAAGAAAAAATGGTGTCACCGAACTTGTTTTCTTGCTACCAGTAAAAAATTAAAATTTCCCTATCAGTTCAGGATATTTTTTTTTACTAAAAGAGTTATCTCCCCTTAAATGACTAAGTTGAAAAATCGATTATAAAAAACACAAATATTTGGTATTTGTTTTAACATTTTGGATAATGCAATAAATCACTAAGTTTTCTTTATTTAAATAAACAGTATAACCAATAAATTGCAAATCTGTCTCAAAATTTGCAGATTTGGGCAAAGAACTAGACCGATTGTGTACTGCGGTTGTACAATCCAAGATGGCGGTATACCATGAATCTACCTTAATCTATTATAACATTTTTCAGACCATATATACATTGATTAACGCTCAGTGGATAGTATCACATGGTACAGGAATTTTCAGGACAGGGCCCTGTCTATCTCTTCCTTTTATCATTCCTCAGCGTGTTGGGTGTTATGACTTAATCTAGAGCTTTTTTTTACTTGTTATTTTTTTTAAATTCATATGTTTCTTTTATATATTGGCCATATTTTTTAGTTAAGAAACTAGTTATGAGGTGAATTTGCATCAGCAATTGTTACTCGTCATCACGCATTTATTTACACACCACAACAATGTCTATGACTAAATAAAAGTTAGGTTTAGTCGATATCAATGTTAGGTTTAATCAATATCAAAGTTAGGTTTAATCAATATCAAAGTTAGGTTTAATTAATATCAAAGTTAGGTTTAATCGATCTCAAAGTTAGGTTTAATCAATCTCAAAGTGAGGTTTAATCGATATCAAAGTTAGGTTTAATCAATATCAAAGTTAGGTTTAATCAATCTCAAAGTTTTAATCAATCTCAAAGTTAGGTTTAATCAATATCAAAGTTAGGTTTAATCAATATCAAAGTTAAGTTTAATCAATATCATCAAAGTTAGGTTTAATCAATCTCAAAGTTAGGGTTAATCAATCTCAAAGTTAGGTTTAATCGATATCAATGTTAGGTTTAATCGATATCAAAGTTAGGTTTAATCGATATAAAAAAGAGAGAGAAGATACCAAGAGGACAATCACAAACATAGGTCGAATAAATATAGACAACCCAATGACCAACAAGAAAACGACGAACAGACAACCAACAATAACAAAACACTACAAGACAAATTTAAGCGTGAGCAACACGAACCCCATCAAAAGCCGCGTATGAACTCAAGTTACACTCGTCCTGTTTTTCATTGCGGGTAGAAATACGGTAATTAGTCGCATTCGACAAAAAAAGAGGATGATTTTGACATTCAATATTCGATTTTCAACATTTAAAATTCAAATAATCAGGAATGTTTAAAATTGAAACGTTAGATATTGAAAAATCGAATTTTAAATGCTGAAATCGAATGTTGAATGCTGAGAACGACGGCTTGGATCATGCTTTTATAAATTTCTGAGAAATTGTATGAATGTTGAATAAAGAATCAAACTGTGCAACCGTAATCTAAACCTAAGTAGACTTTGTCTGGTTATTTTTCACTTTTTTTCCATCATGTCACCTTTCCACTACCTACAAGACAACCGCGAAGAAATAAAATTCCACGCGAAATAGAAATACATTTTCACCAATAAGCCGAGCATGCCATAAAATCTGACGCCCTTTTTCAAACAAATAAAATTCTTGGTCAATTATTATATCTGGCAGTCTACATATCGGTTCAAAATATTTTAATATTCTAAATCAAGTAATGATTATGGAAATACATATGACTAACAAAATTCAAAATGGCCCTTTAAAAGTTCTTATTACATTTTTCTTAGTTTCTTTTGTTACCTATTCAGACATCGGACTCGGACTTCTTTTAAACTGAGTTTTACTGTGCGTATTGGTATGTGTTTTTTTATTCTACATTGGCTAGAGGTATAGGGGGAGGGTTGAGATCTCACAAAACATGTTTAACCCCGCCGCATTTTTAGCGCCTGTCCCAAGTCAGGAGCCTCTGGCCTTTGTTAGTCTTGTATGTTTTTTTTAATTTTAGTTCATTTATATGTTTTGGAGTTTAGTGTGACGTCCATTTTCACTGAAATAGTACACAATTTTATTTAAGGGCCAGCTGAAGACCACCTCCGGGTGCGGGATTTTCTCGCTGCGTTGAAGACCCATTGGTGGACTTCGGCTGTTGTCTGCTCTTTGGTCGGGTTGTTGGGTGTCTCTTTGACATATTCCCCATTTCAATTCTCAATTTTATTTTTACATTTGTACATGCATTTGATTTTCCAAACATTTTCTGAAATAATTTTTATGACGAGTTATTTATAGAAACCAATTTTTGAACTGATAATAATTCAAATACCATGTATACGTTTGGAAATTGGTTGTTCGTCAAATTACATATTCATGGTAACAATCAACTATCAATGAATTCAGGCGAACCGAGAGAAAGTGGAAAGAAAAAGTAAAATCACAAAAAATACTGAACCCCGAGGAAACTTCAAAACGGAAAGTCCCTAATCAAATGGCAAAATCAAAAGCTCAAACACATCAAACGAATGAATATCTGTCATATTCCTGACTTGGTTCAGACATTTTCTTATGTAGAAAATGGTGGATTGAACCTGATTTTATAGCTAGCTAAACCTCTCACTTGTATGCATCAAATTCCATTATATTGACAACGATGCGTGAACAAAACAAACAGACATAATAGGTAAAAATGTCAAAAATAGGGGTACAGAAGTCAACATTGTGTTATAATCTTAATCACTATAAAACAAACAAATATGTAACAAAGAAGCACAAAAAAGCATATATCAAATTTAACAACCTCATTCATTGCTTTTTTTTTATACGATTTTATTTATCTATGTTAAATCCACCAATAAAGGATTGAAAGATTTTAAGTACTGGGACCGATTCCTTGCCCTGACAAGCACATGGTTAGGTTAACATAAATCTGACGTGAAAGTTAAAGTGAAAAGCATTTATCAAGCAACAATCTTCTTGGAAGGGTTGAGTTTTATAAAATGTATAGAATGAGTCTAAATTTCGTGAAAAAAAGTTTGTTTTAATTGATAAATCGTATTAAAGGTCAATCTTGATTTTAGAAAAATGCTTGATCAAGTTTACTATTTGCAAATTTCTTCTTTTTTTAATTTTTAATTTAAGCTGAAAAAAATCATCGCGAGAACACCCTGTACTGACAAAACAATGGATAATAACGTGCAATACTTTGCTATATTTGCGTTACAAAGAACCGTTATTTCGACAGGTCACATGTATAATGTTAAGTCATGCAGAGGTTAAGATCCGAACAGCCTGTCAGTTCAATCCTATTATGCATTGTTTTGTGCAAAGTAAATTACCGTTAATGTAATCATAGATGTAATTATTTATGTTCTCGTCATTTCGACGAAAATATTACATTATTAGGAATACAAAAGAGAGAAGTATCTATTACCGTTAATTCATATTATGAAGGGAAGTCTTTATCTATACCTTTAACTGAAAATCTTTACAGATGACATACATAAATTAAGTAAAATATTGGGATTACTTGAAGGTCTCATTAATATCAAACTTTATTTTTTTTATATTCGAAGCAAATAAAGAGCTAGTTAGCACTAATCATAACGACCATTTTCCCCTTATATCAGTATTCTACCCCAAAATAATTGAACCGCACGTGTTCGCCTTTATAGCAACTATATTTTTGATTAAGGTATAGTGTACAAGTGAATTCCAAACAACATCTTATTAAATTTAATTGCAATACAAAGCTATCATATTATATTTTGGAAATAATAGCATTTGGTACTGTGCATATATATAAAGGAACTATTATATATAGCCTGAGAGACGGATTTAGGGCGGGGATTATGGATCTACATATATGATCAATGCATGGTTTTTCCTCTCTACATTAATCATTGTATC